TTTAAAGCCAGGTGATGGTGGCGCACGCCTTTAATCCCAGCACTCGGGAGGCAGAGGCAGGCAGATCTCTGTGAGTTCGAGACCAGCCTGGTCTACAGAGCTAGTTCCAGGACAGGCTCCAAAGCCACAGAGAAACCCTGTCTCNTCGAGACCAGCCTGGTCTACAGAGCTAGTTCCAGGACAGGCTCCAAAGCCACAGAGAAACCCTGTCTCGAAAAACCAAAAAAAAAAAAAAAAAACTATTTACTTTTTTGTAATGTCTATACATTTTTAAACACACTGTGACCCATTCAGAAGTTTATTTTTGTCTGAATCTGTCTTTATTGCATATCTGTAATAATTTTATGACCAGAAGTCCATTTTTTAAAGGCTAAGCAGGCATGGCTAGGACCAACTCCATGGCCCTGCCTGTTTGTTCCACCCAGTCCAATATGGCAGAGGCATGTTCACTGCCTCTGTGAGTCATACTTACTGCGCCAGCTCCAGGGACACAGTGGGTCTATGTTGCCATTAAGAAATTTGTAACATGCTTCTCCTAGACCCCATTTAACTGCAAAACCTCCTGAGACAGCCAGAGGTTGTTCTGCCAGCATGAACCAAAAAGCCATTTTTAATGAAGTTTTGCCACTAAATCTGAGTCAGAAAGCTTCTCAAAGGAGCTGCACCTCTGCTTGCCACCAGCAAACAAACCCTATCTGGAAATAAGCTGCTACCAAGAGCTGTGTTTAACTCTGTTCTTTTGTGTCTAGAATTCCTTCCCAAGGTCTCTCAGTTTTTATGTGGATGTAGTTGCCCAACTTCCCTGACCCAAATAATCACACAGAAACTTTATTACTTACAATACTACTTTGCCAATAGCTTAAATGTATTTCTAGTTAGCTTTTATATTATTCAATTGCATCTTAAATTATATTAACTTATATTAATTCATTTTTATTAATCTGTGTATCACCATGAGGCTGTGGCCTACTGGTAAGGTTCTAACTGATGTGTCCTTCTCCTTTGACAGCTACATGGTGTCTCCTTGATTCTGCCTACTCTCTCTCTCTATCTCTTTCAGTCTATATTCTGCCATGCCATAGGCCAAAGCAACTTCATTCCTTAGCCAATAAAAACAACACAAACAGAAGGACATCCCATATCCTTGCTCTAGATAAAACTTCAAGTACTATGTTGAATAGATATGGAGAGAGTGAACAGCTTTGTTTTGTTCCTGATTGTAGTGGAATTGCTTTGATTTTCTCTCCATTTAATTTGATGTTGACTGCCAGCTTGCTGTATATTGTTTTTATTATGTTTGGATTCATTCCTTGAATTCCTTATCTCTCCAACACCTTTATCATGAAGCAGTGTTGGATTTTGTTGAATGCTTTTCAGCATCTAATGAGATGATCATGTGGTGTATTTCTTTCATTTTATTTATACAGTAGATTACATTGATAGATTTTCATGTGTTGAACCATCCCTGAATCTCTGGGCTGAAGCCAACTTGATAATGGTGGATGATTTTTTAAAATGTATTCTTAGATTAGGTTTGCCAATATTTTATTGAATATTTTTGCATAAATTTTCGTGAGGGAGATTGGTCTGTAATTCTCTTTCTTGATTTTTTTTTGTGAGATTTGGCTATTAGGGTAACTGTAGTCTCATAAAAAAAATAATTTGGCAATGTCCCATCTGTTTCTATTGTGTGAAACACTTTGAGGAGTATAAATATTAGCTCTGTTTTGAAGTTCTTATAGAATTCTGGGTTGAAGCCATTGGACTCTAGGCTTTTTATTGATTGGTAGACTTTTGATGATGGTTTCTGTTTCTTTAGGGGTTATAGGTCTATTTAAATTGTTCTATCTGGCCTGATTCAACTTTGGTATGTGGTACCTATCCCTTAAAATTGTTCATTTCTTTTAGATTTTCCAATTTTGTGGAGTACAAGTTTTTGAGGTATGATCTAATGATTCTCTAGATTTCCTCAGTGTCTGTTGTTATGCCCTCTACTCATTTCTGAATTTGTTAGTTTGGATGTTTTCTCTCTGCCTTTTGATTAATTTGGATAAGGGTTTGTCTATCTTGTTGATTTTCTCAAAGAACCAGCTCTTTGTTTCATTAATTATTTGTATTGTTTTCTTTATTTATATTTTATTCATTTCAGTCTTCAATTTGAATATTTTCTGTAATCTGCTCCTCCTGGGTGAGTCTGCTTATTTTTGTTCTAGAGCTTTCAGGTGTGCTGTTAAGCTGCTAGTGTGAGATTTCTCCACTTTCTCTATGTAGGCACTTATTATTTTCCTCTTTTAAAAATTACTTTATCAATAATACCAATCAAAATTTCCAGTTCCTCCCCTCCTCCCACTTCCCTCTCACTCCCCCTCCCCCTTCCCCCCTCCACTTATTATTATGAACTTTCTTCTTAGTATTGCTTTCATAGTGTTCCATAGGTTTGGGTACATTGTGCCTTCATTTTTATAAAATTCTAGGAAGTCTTTAATTGCCTTCTTTATTGCTTCCTTGACCAAAGGGTAATTCAATTTAGCACTGTTCAATTTCCATGAGTTTGTAGGTTTTCTGCAATTAGTGTTGTTGAATTCTAATTTTAAGCCATGGTGATCCGATAAGACTGGGGGGTTTGTTCCAGTTTTGTTTTGTTTTGTATTTGTTATTTCTTTTGTTACTGAGTATGTGGTCACTTTTGAAGAAGGTTCCATGAGGTGCTGAGAAGAAGGTATACTCTTTTGTGTTTGACTGAAATGTTCTATAGATATCCATTTGATTCATGACAGCTGTTTGTTCTCTTCTTTCTCTGTTAAGTTTTTGTCTGGCTTACCTTTTCCTTGGTGGGAGTGGGGTGATGAAGTCATCTGCTATTAGTGTGTGGGGTTTGATGTGCAATTTGAGCTTTATTAATGTTTCTTATACTTATGTGGGTGCTCTTGTATTTGGGGCATAGATGTTCAATATTAAAACTTTATCTTAATGAATTTTTCCTGTGGTGAGTATGAAGTATCCTTCTCCATATCTTTTGATTGATTTTAGTTTGAAGTCTGATTTGTTAGATATTATGATAGTTACATCCGCATGTTGCTTAGGTCATTTTGATTGATAAATCTTTTCCCAACCCTTCACTCTGAGGTAATGTTTGTTTTTGAAGTTAAGGTGTATTTCTTGTATTCAGAAGAAGAATGGATCCTGTTTCCATATCTATTCTGTGTCTTTTTATAAGTGAATGAGTCCATTGATATTAATGACCAGTGATTGTTAATTCCTGTTATTTTTTTGGTGGTAGTGTTTGTGTGTTTCCCTTCTTTGGGGCTTTCTGGTGTGATGCTATCTGCTTCCTGTGTTTTTGTTGGTGCAGCTTGCTTCCTTGGGTTGGAGTTTTCCTTCTGGTACTTTCTGTTAGGCTGGGTTTGAGGATAGGTTTTGTCTAAATCTTTGCTGGGTATAATATAGTCTGTGCTTGCATCCATAGTTTCTTAGTATCTGCAGTACATATGTCCAGGACCTTTAGGCTTTCATGATTTTCACTGAGAAATTGGGTGTAGTTCTCATAAGTCTGCTTTTATATGTTACTAGGTCTTTTTCCTTTGCAGCTCCTAATATTCTTTCTTTATTCTGTATGCTTAGTGTTTTGATTATTATATGACAAGGGGACTTTATTTTTGGTTTAGTCTATTTGGTTTTCTGTAAGCTTCTTGTATCTTGATAGACACATCTTTCTTTAGGTTGGAAAAATTTTCTTCTATGATTTTGTTGAATATATTTTTGTGCCTTTGAGCTAGAGTTCTTCTGATTCTTCCATCCCTATATTCTTAGGTTTGGTCTTTTCATGGTGTCCCAGATTTCCTGGATATTTGTGTTAAGAATTTATTGGATTTAGCATTTCTTTGACCAATAAATCTATTTCCTCTATTGTATATTCAACGCCTGAGATTCTTTCTTCCGTCTCTTGTATTCTGTTGGTTATACTTGCATCTGTAGTTCCTGTTCATTTGCCAGATTTTCCATTTTCAGAATTCCCTCAGTTTCTGTTTTCTTTATTGCCTCTGTTTCAGTCTTCAAGTCTTGAATTGTTTGAACTGTGTGCTTCACCTGCTTGATTGTTTTTTCTTGTTTATTTTTTGGCTTTCCTTAAGAGATTTATTGATTTCTTTCAATTTTTTGTCTTTTCATTTAATTCTTTATTTCCTCTTTAAAGGTCTCTACTGTTAGGTTGGGAGCTTAGGTCCCAGCCCCCAGGTCTGGTCTGGACTTCAAATCCCAGCAGGCCAGGTCCTGACCCCTCCCATTCCTCAGGGTACAGAAGTAATCCCTCAAAAGAAGAACATGTGGTCTCCCTTTCTTCCTCCTGGGGGTGTGTTCCTGTGGCTTCCAGGTTTCCCCCTCAGGGCCACCCGAGAGCGTAGATCTCCCATTAAACCTGGATATTTCTTAATTTGGCTTGTTTTGATTTGGCTTGATTGGGATTTTTGCGTCATCAGGGAGCTTGCATTAGGAAATATTCCTAACATCTACCATCTTCATAAAGTTATATTTATGGTTGTTTTCTTCTGCTTCTTCTGGATTAGGATGTTTAGGCCTTCCTGTTGTATGACCACTGGATTCTGCTATTTCCATGTTGTTTGTTAGGTTATTATGTGTATTCTTGCATTAGTGCCTACCTGTCTCTTTATCCAATTAGTGCAGGCAGTGTCTTTGCCTCTTGGTCTAATCCTTGCAGATGATGTCTATGTCTCAGGGATCCTCTCTTGGACCGATTGTTGCCATTGCTGTCTGTGTCTCAGGGAGCCACTGAGGTTGCAGGGGGGATAGGTGGGTTTGGAGGTGGAGAGAGACTTGTAGATTACAGGGTCCAATAGATGGGGGTGTGGAACAGCCCACTTGTAGGTGGCTTGCCTGTTGGCCAGCTAGTGCAAATGAAGTAGGTGGGGAAGGGGTCTAGAGCTTTTGCCCCAGTTCCTAGGACTTAGAGAATGGGCTATGCAGCTGGGGAGTTGGTCACTCACCTCTTCATCTTCTCTGTGTGTTGACTGAGGTTTTTCTGTCCCACCTGGTCCTACCATCTGTTAAGTCCCTAAGAATCACACAGAGGTCTACATTAGTTATAAACTATTTGGCCCATTAGCTCAGGCTTCTTATTAACTACTTCTTATAACTTATATTAGCCCATAATTCTTGTCTGAGTCAGCCACGTGGCTTGGTACCTTTTTCAGCAAGGCAGTCACATCTTGCTTCCTCTGAGGCTGGGACACCACTGCAGACTATGATTCTCTCTTCCCAATATGCTCATTGCCCTACTTCTACTTCCTGCCAGGTCACCCTGCCTGTACTTCCTGCCTGGCTACTGGCCAATGAGCGTTTTATTAAAAATAATACAAGTGACAGGATAAAAGACCATTGTCCCACAGCACTCACCCCTTTAAAAAAGCAAGAACTCTGAATCCAATATACCTTGTTTAGCTTTTCTCCTGACCATTATCCATAACAACTTGCAACCAACATTCTAAACAAAGGAAAATATCTATAGTCCATTTGGGGGGAATGTGGGCATAGTTTCCTATTTTTTTTTTTTGAGACTAAACTTCTCTGTGTATTATTGACTGTCCTGGAACTCACTCTGTAAACAAGGCTGTCCTTGAACTTACAGAGATCTGCCTGCTTTTGCCTCTCAAGTGCTAAGATTAAATTTGTGTGCCACCACAACTTGAACTAACAGAGATCCGTTTACCTTTACCTCCCAAGTGTTGGGATTAAAAGTGTGTGCCACCACACCCGACTATTCTCTTTTTTTTTCTATTTTCTTTAAAGGACTTTAACCTTTTTCTTTTCTCTCCCAAGCCTTATTTTTAAGCACACTGTAAAACATTTAGAGATTGTGTTTGCCTTTGAATCTGTCTTTACTGTATATCTTTCTTTTTCTGACCACATGAGTCTTTAATTTGCTAAACAATATGGCTAGGATTAAAGCTATAGCTTTGAGGCTGAATCCAGCCCATTCTTTAGCTTTCTGAGAGTCTAGCCTCATGGCAGAGGTACTGGCTGGAGCGATGTTTATTGCCACAACTCTATGGCATTTCAAGGTCCCTGCCACCACTGAAAAGTATGCAGTCAGCTTTTCTTCAACACCATTTAAGTGTTTCGTGGCAGGACCTCCTAAAAGAGCTGCAGAGTTTTGCAGCTAAAGCTGAGTCAGAAAGACTCTCTTAAATGAGAGTGCTTGCCTCTAGCAAGCAGAGCCCACTCAAGAAAGTGTTGCTATCAATAAGCCATGCTAAACTCTATTATTTTATGTGTAGAATTATTTCCCAAGCTCTCTCAGGTTTTCTGTGGATGCAGTTTCCCCATGTTGGGCACCATTCTGTTGACTGAGGTTTTCTGTCCTGCCTGGTCCATTTAGTCCCAAAGAATCACACAGAGGTCTACATTAGTTATAAACTGATTGGCCCACTAACTCAGACTTCTTAACGAACTAATTCTTATAACTTATATTAGCCAATAATTCTTGTCTGAGTTATCCATGTGGCTTGGTACTTTTTTCAGCAAGGCACTCACATCTTGCTTCCTCTGAGGCTGTGTCATGACTGCATTCTGTGCTTCCCTCTTCCCAACATTCTCATTGTCCCACCTCTACTTCATGCCTGGTTGCCCCGCCTGTATTTCCTGCCTGACTACTTGCCAATCAGCATTTTATTAAAAAGAATACAAGTGACAGGATAAAAGACCATTGTCCCACAGCATCTGTGCAGTCACAGACTGTGCTGCAGAGAGTTTTCTTTAACAATTTCAAACATCTATACAATGTGTTTTGATTGTGTTTACTATTCATTACTTTCTTTTATCTTCCCCTCCTGTTAATCCCTTCTCAGTAAGTCCCCTCTTCCTTCCATCAATTTCTTTTGGGGTCCCACTTGCATGGTTGTGAGTGGGAGCTTATTTACTAAAACATAGGTAATTTGCCAGTGGCTACACTACTGAAGAAAATGACTCCCTGCATCCATTAACTGGCAATAGCTCTTCTGGGAGGTGATGGCCTCTTAATCCCTTCCTGTCCCATTGTGGAATGTTGCTAGTCTCAGTTTTGGACAGGTCTCCTGCAGGTAACCATGGCTTCTGTGAATCTGCGTGTACAATTGCCACTTCATGTCCTGATATTTCACAGCTTCCCTCCCCATGTTCTGGTTCGTACATTTTTTTGTGTCCACTTTTATACAGTGTTCTTAGGTCTTGGAGGAAGATTATTTCACATTTAAAACATTTCTTGGCCCCTTAATGAATAATAAATAACCCATCACCTTTTAAGTGAAAAATTACATGCCAAAAACACAAAGGTAAACCATAAATGGCTCGTAGTGCCAGGACATCGACAACACATAAGCCTATGTTCCTGTGCAAGGACTGTGAATCTGCAAACTTTAAATCAGAGATCATGTCACATAGCATTACAGTCATTCTCTGTAATGCTGACACAACCAATTATCGACATCTCTTTACATTTTTGGTTTGTTTTAGATCTCATTCAGAGAATCTCATCCTGTCACAGCAGTGAAGAGTTTGTAATGTACCAAATGACAAGCTGGCCAAATTAGGGAGCTAGGGTTTTTATCACTGTAAAGAGACACCATGACCACGACAACTCTTATAAAGGAAAAACATTTCATTGAGGTGGCTTACATTTTCAGAGTTTTAGCCCATTATCATCACAGTGGGAGCACGATGGCATGGAGGCAGACATGGCGCTGGCTATATCTTGATACAGAAGCAACAGAAAGTAGATTGTGACTTCTGGGAGTAGCTTGAACATAGGAGACCTTAAAGCTAACCCCCATAGTGACACACTTCCTCCAACAAGGCCACACCTCCTAATAGTACCACCCTTCGGGGGCCATTCTCTTTCAAACTACCACAAACACATTAATTCTAACCAGCAGATTGTCTTTCAAAATGAATTTCAAAATGTCAAAAACAAATTTGATAAGGAAGCATCTTTATGTATTTAATGAGATGTGCTCCAGGAGAGTGTTTGTGAGTTTTATTTTGAATTTTAATTATGTGAATGGGTGTGTGTCTGTGTTAGATTTGTGCACATGAGTAGAGAAGGCATCGGATACCCTGGAACCAGAGTGCTTGTCAATCATGCAAAGAGGATGCTGGGAATTGGACTGCAGTCTTCTGCAAAAAGCAATGTGTTTTCTTAACTTTGAGCCATCTCTTCAGTCCCTAGAAAAGTCTTAAGAAAACAAAAAAAATCTGCATTACTTAATTATATCTTCTAGTCAGCATTGATAATTGTCTCTCTGATTTTTCTACGAATAGTGAAGGTGAGAGCTGGGTAGAAGTGGTAAATTAATAAATTGCTATGCGTTAGGCATGATTTTATCTGCCTGTTTGTACTCATTAATCCTTGTAATACTCTACTGAGGAATGCATTGCCACCCGACTCATCTTGACAGCGAGGCACTCAGAGTTAAAAAAAAAAAACACTCAGCCACTTGGCAGGTTCCTAGTGAAGAGGCAAAACAGGAAATTCTGGACTTTACTTATATTCATCTTCATTGATTTAAAAGTCCACTTTTATTCAATTTCAAAATACAGACCATTTCTAGAAGAATGTCTGTAGGTGACCATCAAACAAAGACATTTATTTTGAATCCTTTGTTGGATGACTTGGATTATTTGCTTGTATCTTGGCATGAGTAAAACCTGCTTCCTCTCATTCTACAGAACCGAATGTCTGTGCCAGCCTCTGCATGGGAACCAGGGGTCATTGCTATGTTTTAGTTCAGGTTCCCGGATCCCTGCACATGTCACGGTGCATGCTAATGGCTCCAGGTGGCAGTGATGCAATTGGCTTTGCTTAATGAGACCATTAGCAGCCAGTGCCGCCACTGCTGTGGTGGATGCAAAAACAACTCTCAGTTTGGAATTAAATCAAGATGCTTTCTGGCCGTGAAGGCAATGGAAAGAATCAAAAATATAACTCTAAAAGGGACCATTAATATTCCCTTAGAGATTCCCTAACACAGAAAGGTCATTAAAATACTCAATTCTCAACTTTCCATGACTGTGACACACTTCTTGTGTTAAAATCCTAATCAAACAACCCCAAATCTGACCTGACATCTAATGAAAAGAAACCAATCTCACTCAGAGTCTTGCAGATAGGGAAAGAAGAAAAATCAGTTAAAGATTTTTTAAAGAAAATTAAAAAGCAGAGGTCTTTAGGATTTCAAAGTGAATAGTGAACAGCTAGGGTCCTGATCACTGGAGAATAACTAGGATGGCCACTGGGACGTCCAGCGCTTGTCTAGAAGGAAGGCCAACTATTCTGATCTGTGGTGATGCTGGGAGGGGCAGTGGACAGGCTGTACACAGGAGTCTTGTCTTCCATAGTGATTAAAATTGGCGGTCACTCCAACACATAACATAGCTCTACAGCCTAAACAGGATTCTCAACCATGACCCAATGATATTTTAGCCAAATAACTTTTAGTGTGTGTGTGTTCCTGTTTTTATATTAGAATATCCATTTCCCGGATGTCTTACATACTTTTCTTTTTTTAAAGATTTACTTATTGATTATGTATACAGTGTCTGTCTGTCTGTATGCTTGCAGGCCAGAAGAGGACTCCAGTTCTCATTACAGATGGCTGTGAGCCATCATGTGGTTGCTGGGAATTGAACTCAGGACCTCTGGAAGAGCCATCAGTGCTCTTAACCTATGAGCCATCTCTCCAGCCCTTACATACTTTTCTCAATGCATGGACAAGCATACCTCCCAGGGGAAGTAGAAAAAGACAAGATCTTCTGAGTAAATTGGGAGCATGGGGACCTTAGGAGAGGGTTGGGGGGGAGGTAGGGAAAGGAGCAGAGAATAATGTAGAGCTCAATAAAAATCAATAAAAAAGCATACCTCATAGTAAGTAATCATTTTTTATGACCCACAATTTGAGGAGGAGTAGTCCATCATAGTAAGGTGTCAGAGATAGAAGATGGGATGGCCACATTGCATACACAGTCAAATAGCAGAGAGGGACGGATGCTTAGCTCTTCCCTTTTTATTCAGTGTAGGGTACC